TCGGCGAGAAGGGTCACATTAACAAGTGCTATCCAGTTATGGGAAGAACATTTCCCCTATTCCCCGGAATGAGAAAGTAAATCATTCTCAACTGCTACTTCACGAATCGGACTCGAAATTACTCCATCACTTCCTTGCTATTCGAGAGACGAAGACCGATTCCCACCTGATGAAGACCTCCTCCATGGTGGTGACGGAGACGCCGAAGCTCGAGATGCCCAGGTCTCCCTTCCGATTCTCCAACTCCGTGAACATGGACGGGAAACGGGGACTGCTGTTGTCGGGGAGGAGGAAGGTGAGTTCCGCTCCGACGTTCTGGTCCAGACTCCCGTCGGGGACGTGTCGCTGGATCACCTCGGTCACTCGGGACACATCGCACCAGGGTTCCTTCACGGCCACCATGTGATACCCGGCCCCTGTAACCCAGGAGATATTTCTTTCCTTCTGCGCGTGAACAATATAGATTGAGCTAAAACCAGTGGAAAATATGGTGAGATGGAGCACGGGGAGTCGCATAGGGAAGCGCCTATCTATGGGACCACCACTGGAGTTGCGGTCACACTCATTCAGATTATATTATGAGTTGAATCTCTTCGAAATAAATGTGGTCATTACAGTCGTCCCGAATATTACGTCTCACATGATTCATTTCCTACTACCCCTATCAGAGGTGCTCCACGACACCGGAAATCACACTACCGACTCCATTCGACCGTGAACTGACATCTGCCATCCCTCAAACCAACAGAAGGAAAAAAAGAATCCATACCGAATTTCTTCTTGAGGAAGATGGATGACCCGACGCACTTGAGATCCCCCTCCGACATGATGGCGATCCGGTCTTGAACTGAAATCTGCCATCCCTCAAACCAACAGAAGGAAAAAAAGAATCCATACCGAATTTCTTCTTGAGGAAGATGGATGACCCGACGCACTTGAGATCCCCCTCCGACATGATGGCGATCCGGTCGCCGAGGAGGTCCGCCTCGTCCATGAAATGCGTCGTGAGCAGCATCGTCCTCCCTCGCCTCTCTTTCTGCAGAATCCGCAAAAAGTCTATTGGCGTCTACCTGATCGAACGCGAAACGCTGCGAGATGTTTATACGACCTATTCTGCATGGGAGGCATTTATGCTTGAAGTTGAATTATTCAAGAAGTGGTGTATCACGGAGGAGTATGTAATATTGCTCTGGTGTGGATGAAGGCGTTCAAATACATAAATAATAAAATAACAATATTCACTTATTCGCTTCACAACTCACCCGCACGTCCATGAATGAGCTCCATATGTGAAAGGGATTTTTTCAAATTATTATATTCTCAAGAAAGGAATTTTTAACACCATTCCAGGGAGTGAATGAGCTATTGAGCCAAGACCACAACGAGAAAATCAGCTGAATCGGCGAACCAGACGCTTGCCCCAACGCTAAATCTGACGTAACCCGAGCCATCGACTGGAAACTGGTCTGATTGGGATCAGTCTGTGGGTCGTCGCGTTCTAACCGAGCCTTCAAGGTGTAACACTCTTCGAGTTCCAACACTGCATCGTCTCGTGGTCTTGTCGAGATATAACCAGAGAGGAATGCAAAGCCAAATGAAATTTCCATCTGTTAACTTCAACAACTCGGCGTTCACTCGAGGAAACTCATTCCCCTCTGCAATAAGCTGCAATAAGAATAATCTCCTCGAAACCGGAAAGTTACAACTAACCTCGATCTAAATCACATGGAAGGACTCACGCCTGGTCAATCACTGTTAAGTACCGTATCTTCTTAAAAGCCAAAACCACAACTTTAAAGTTCGAGGGTAGGTGCAGTGGAACCAAAGGATGATGCACACAAAATAAATTTTAACGATTATAATTGGGGAATGGGGCAATGAGATGTCATCAGGAATCCTCCTAGCAAGTCATTTTTTTCTGCCTTAGCCAATTTCCATTGTACAAGGTACTTTCAAGGTTGAAGAGGACTTTACAAACGCTATAAAAAAAAAACCATGAATGAACAAATATAGGACAAAGATTATGAGGTGGACACTGTTCAAGGTCTCTGCCGAGACGTCACATGACTCGAAATTTCGGGATTTTCTCAAGAGTAGCTCATTCCAGTATCATTTGAAGAACTGGGTTGCTATCGTTACCCCATATATCGTTACCCCCACCAAACCAAAATCAAAATTTATTTGAAAAAAAAAATAAGATTCGAGAGACCGGAGTCATATCTCATTGGGGAGATGACTCAAGCATTATTGTGCTGATTTGACTATAATTCAGACGATTTTTTGGCAAAGGACGATTTTTGCTTTTTTTGCGATCATTTCCAAAATAAATAAATAATTCTGTTCATGATATGAGGAAAAGTTGCAGCTACGGATTCAGGGGATTTCGACTCACCTGGAGCAGATCCCACGTGGCTCTCCTCGCCGACGGATCCATCCCTGAGGTGGGCTCGTCCAGCATCACGATCTGGGGTCAAAAGATCGTCGTCTTCAACGGGAGACACGAGGGAAAAGTGATAGCTCTTGTGCAGTTGAGAGGGGACTGGCATCTGTTGTCCATTGGGACTATTTATATTAATAGATTTATTATGCCGTGCAATGCATACTCGCTTTTGGGGAAAAGTCAAGAACTGTCGGGTTTCTCTTCTCTGTTGCTCTTGACCTAAACCAGATGGGTTCGACGGAACCCGGAACCGGTCCTGCTGCCCCCCCCCCCCCCCCCCCCCCCCCCCC